ATGCAGGCCAAAATCTTTGGGGAGGAGAAGGGATGCTGAGCAAAAGGATGTCAGAGGAGACAGAACCAGATGTGGGAACAGACACGGCTTACTGGGAGCCTCAATAAACCAATTTGATTGAGCTGGAAGGCTAATACAAGGCCGCAGTGGAATGGGATGGTGAAAGGCCCTGTCTGATAATGCCCGGATAAGGCATGCAGTCTTCAGCTTTGATTCTAAGACATATTTTCCAGCAAGGAGGATCTGCTGAAGGTTATTGTGCAAGAGAGTGATATCACTGATGTATTCTGGAAGTTTGGTACAGGGATAAGAAGGGACAGTGACCAGAGCAAGGATTGCTGGTCAGGGCATCTGGTTCAATAAAGCAATAAGGGCTTGAAAAGCTCCTGCCGAAAAACCTCTTTGCTTTCTGCATTTTAGGCCATTTTTCATGTCTAGACTTTCACTCTGTGTGGGTATTTCCTAAGGTCAGTCTCACCTCCTACCCATTCAACCCTTCTGCCTTCCTCTCTCTCCCTCACTTCCTTCTCTTTCTTTCCTCACCTTCTCTGCCCCGTCCTCCCCCATCTCTGTCTCTCACCTTCTGTCTTTGTTAACTAAGCCATTCACGAATACTTATTATCTTCTAATACATTCTGGCTCCCATCCAAGGCACCAAAGTTTCAGGGAACCCCACAGATTCAAAGAATCCGGTTCTGTTCTGCTGAGGAAAAGCAAACAGTAAGGGAAGCGAGAGTGGCTCCAAGAGCTACTGAGTAGAAGTTTGCACCAGGCTTCAGGGGTATACAAAGTACTGGTCTATTATGTCAGAGAAGGTGATGCTGAAGCCAACATGCAGAAATGGCAAGGCAGCCATCGGTGGAGTAAGAAGAAGGGACGCTGCGGTGTAGTGGGGAAGATGGATTCTGTCCTCGGGGTGGCTGACTGGTAACTGGTAGTTTTGGGAACTGAGTGACAGGTCTTTTGCGCAAGAGTGAGGGACTGTGAAGTAGCAGTTACCAGGACTTTGTGCGTCATGCTTCAGAATTTAGGTTTCATTCCAAGTACTCTGGAAGGCTGTTGGAATACTCAGCCTTGAACAGTGGCATCAGATTTTTTTTTATTTTTTTAAATTTTTTAATTATTTGAGTTTGCAAAGCTGAGGATTTTCATTTTGAGTCCGCTATGATTGAGTCAGGGTGCAACTCCTAATTCAACCACTTGGTGGCTCTGGGCTTTTGGACAAGCTACCTAAGCTCTCGGAGCCTCAATTTCATCACGAAACAGAAGAACAACATGTACCTTCTTCATAGACACTGCTCTGGAAATGTCAAACCATTTGCAGCATCCCTAGTATGGTTCTCCATACATAGAAACCCTTCATCACTGATGCAGCTCTTTGTGTTCCTCTTGCTACGGTCATTGCCACTACGATAAAGACCCCTCTGCTGTAAATGCCGTTCATCTCAGGGCGGAAGGCAAGCTGGAGAAAAGAATAAACAGGGCAAAGGGAGGGAGGTTAAGACACCCTCTGGAGCAATGCAGAGGAGAAGATTCTATTTTCTCATCAGTGACCAACTATCATTATATAGAGTTAAAAAATATCTGTTGAATAAATGTAAAGAATGGCTGAATATATGTCGGTGATTGAGTAGCTGGAAGGAACCAGCAGAGTGAGTAAAAGCCGCTAGCTAGGCTTCAAGCTTGGGTGCCTGGGGAGAGCGCCTGCATTCTGGACATGAAAAAATTCTTCCACACTGAGCTCAGCCTCTCCAGCCCCTGCGCTCCCGACATCCTTGGATGGTTGGTGCCTTTTCAGTTTGATTCAGCTCCTCAGTGCTTGTGCCATGCTGCTTCTTGCTTTGTCTTTTTCTACAATGTTTTGACCTAGTCACAGAGAGCTCATATTTAAATTTAGAATACCAAAAGGTTTGGAATCTTGAACCCTCTTCTAGCTGGGTTTACACCACCTCTGCTTGGTGGACCCTTCAAACCCTTTCCTGTCTCTAGATCATGGAGACGCCTCCGGAAAGACTTTTATTCTGCAGCCTTCTTTAAAGGCATTATGAGAATACCACACCGTCACTGTTTGTAGTGTTTGGCACAGAATATTTGTTATGATTTATTGGTATCACATGGTCTTATTTTCATTTCTGTATAAAATATGGAATTTTATGTGCATTCTACTTTAGGTCTCATGCTATTAGGATAAAACGAAATATGGCCCAGGATTTGACCTCTCTCTCTCTCTCTCTCTCTCTCTCTCTCTCTCTCTCTCTCTCTCTCTGTGTGACATGATGGTGCCTATATATGTGGGTACATGTGCGAGGAGGGCATTGGGTATCCTACTCTGTCATTCTCTATCTTCTTGCCTTCGGGCATGGTTTCTCATTGTACTTGGAGAGAGGCTGGCAGCTGCCTCCTGCCTCTGTCTCCCAAGCACTGGGGTTACAAGGTTGTAATCATACCTGCTGTTTTTACGTGGGTGCTAGGATCTAAATTCAGGTTCTCCTGTTCACGTAGCTAGCATCTTACCCATCAGGTCATCTCTGCAACGATACCTGTGGTTTTTCTGTCCCTGCAACATGTTACCTCTACTCTCTACAAAATGTTCTGTTCACTAAAGCCTGGCTTTGGAATAAGTAACAGTATATGGGACTGATACCATCCTTCTCTGTTTTTGTTTTTGTTAGTTTGCTTGTTTTTCTTTTCTTTTTTTATATTTGAGTTGGATACTCTATTTACTTTCTTATTTAGAAAGGATCTCTCTACTTAGCTCTGGCTGTCCTGGAACTCACTATGTAGACCAGGCTGGCCTCGAAGACTCACAGAGATCTGCCTGCCTTTGCCACCTGAGTGCTAGTTGATGAGGAACAGGAGTTTTGAAATTGTCTAAGGACTAGGCTAGCCATGTTCAAGACTCTGTAAATATGTTGAATGATTGTTTCAGGAGAGACATTTTTGAGGTGTATTGGTGGGTTAAAGCCAAAGATTGTCAATTACTAAGCACTTCCCAAATCCCAAGTAAGAATTTAAATAATTTTTTTGTTAATTTTTTTTTCATTTATGTTACATACCAACCACAGTTTCTTCTCCCACCTTTCCTCAGGTTCCCTCCCCACACCTCCCTTCTACCTCTCCCCCACAACATATACATCCACTCCTTCTCTGTCTCCATTCAGAAAGGGGCAGGTCTTCCAGGGAAGTCAACAGGGCATGACACATCAAGTTGAGGCAGGACCTAGCTCCCCCTCTCCCACTGCATCAAGACTGGGCAAGGCATCTCACAATGGGGAATAAGTTCCAAAATGTCCGCTTAAGAGTCAGGGACAGGTCCTGATGCCACTGCTAGGAGCCCCACAAACACTACACAACTGTCATACACATGCTGAGGGCCTAGGTTGGTCCCATGCAGGCTCCCTAGCTGTTGATCCAGAGTCAGTAGCTCCCATGAGCTCAGATCAGCTGTCTCTGTGGGTTCCGTGTCATGCTCTTGACCCTGGCTCATACAATCCCTCTTCACTCTCTTCAACTGGACTCAAGAGCTCAGCCCAGTGCTTGGCTGTGGGTCTATGCCTCTGCTTCCATCAGTTACTGGATGAATGCTTTCTGATGACAATTAGGATAGTCACCAATCTGATTACAGGAGAAGGCCAATTCATGCGCCTTCTCCATTATCGCTAGGAGTCTTAGTTGGGGTCATCCTTGTGGATTCCTGGGAGTTTCCCTGGCACCAGGTTCTGTCCTAACCCCAAAATGACTCCCCCATCAAGATATCCCTTTCATTATTCTCCCCATCTGTCCAGTCCCCAACCCTTCCAAGCTGATCCCTCGTGTTCCCATACCTGCATACCCCAGTTTACATAAGAGATCTCTTCTAGTTCCCCTTCCCAGGGACATCGATGTATTTCTTTTTGGGCCTTCCATGTTACCTAGTTTCTCTGAGGCTGTGGATTGTAGTCTGGTTATCTTTTACTTTATAGCTAATACCCACTTATGAATGAGTATGTACCATGTTTGTCTTTCTGAGTCTGAGTTACCTCACTCAGGATGATTTTTTTTTCTAGTTTCATCCATTTGCCTGCGAATTTCATGACGTCATTTTTTCTGCTGAGTAATACTCCAGTGTGTAAATGTACTACATTTTGTTTATTCATTCTTCAGTTAATGGGCATCTAGGTTGTTTCCAGGTTCCAGAAAGAACTTTTAAAAACACCTTGCACAAAACAACAACAACAAAATGTTTTATTTTTAAACAATGACACACGGTGAGAAATTTTGCGATGCCGTCCATCAGCCCAAAGTCTACGTATGTAGTTTGCACAGTTGCTCTTGACTTCCAGGGAGGCAGCAGCCCTGAACCAGGAGAAGCAGGGCAGGCCCAGTTTGGCTAAGACAATCCCGGCCTCAGTTGTTCTGAGGTCCTGCCACAACTACCACCAGTGGAGTCAGAATTCTTATGGACCCGCGGCCCAACTTCCAACAGACACAATCTTCACAAATTCCCTCATCAGACTGTGTGTGTGTGCTCGGGAGCACGGGCCACAGAAATAGCTACCTAAAGGATGGGGAATGAGATGTTTCTGTGGGAAAAAGCAGCCTTTCGGGTTCTCAGCATTTTACCCGGCTGCTTTTCTACTTTTTCAGAAATGATTGAGGCTATTAAAATCTATTCCCAGTGATTAAAAAAAAAATGATAGGGACTCAATGGCTCCTTCCCAATTGCTCCGTGTTTGGCAGCAAATACCTAAACACCCAGTTTTCTCTTTTTAAAATTTTCTCTACCAGTATCAAAACAGTCCTGCACATATTTATGGGGAAATAAATCTCTGCCCTTTATTCTGTGTAGGGTTTATAGCAAGACACACACAGAGAGAGCCGCCCGGACTATCCCAGTTCTCTAGAGTTGGGTTTCGGCTGCTTTAAGAGTCTGGCTCCCTGGTTAGGGGGCTGGTCTATCCTAGGTGTGGGAGGAGGGAGGGTAAAGCGGGCCTGGGAGTTCCTTTTAGATCAGACAAAAAGAAACCAGGAAGTTAGGAGGAATTATTACAGTCTGTCCAGCTCAGGATGTTAAAGGCGATAACCTCCACGGCCTGGTTATTCATTAGCAAAAAGGAAAGCTCCAGGGAGAGCAGCGCCGGTGCAGCTGCAGGGTTGAGGCTGGGTGAGAGCAGCTGGAGCAGGCCAGGTCGGGAGGTTTGGCCCCGAGTTAGTAGCAATCTCTTGCTAACTTTTTCTTGGGACAGAAGGAAAGGTGGTTGTTCTTTGTTCTCAGATGTCTGCTTAAGTCGACCCCCTTCTATTTTATTTATTGTGGGGTACCTAAGCGGTCAGGAAGAAGTACCTTCCCACTGGACCTCCTGCCCAGAAGTCCCCTCTTGATTTTGCCCCAGGGCAGCTGCTACAAACAGAAAGTCAGCTGTGAGTCTGTCTTAGCCAAACCCAGATCTGCCGGAGAGATCTGAAGCGGGACTCTATCCGCTCTGCACAGTATGGTGAGTGGCGGCTGATCTGGAAACTGCTTGGTCTCGGAGGAAGACCGTGAATCTGGACAGCCTGTGGGGAGAGGTTGTCCCTCTCCCCTACTCCCAGCCCGGGCACCATGGGCAGCATCTGTGTGAGGCTCCGGGCGTACATGCAGCGCCTTCTCCCCTGCTGGTCCCACGAGGCAGACAAGTCAGTGGTGATTGAGAATCCAGGGGCCTGCTGTACCCCAGAGACTCCCAGGTCACAGGAGCCCCAGAGGAGCCATGGCCACTACTTTGTGGCTCTGTTTGACTACCAAGCCCGTACCGCAGAGGACCTGAGCTTCCGTGCTGGCGACAAACTCCAAGTTTTGGACACTTCGCATGAGGGCTGGTGGTTGGCCAGACATTTGGAGAAGAAGGGAGCCGGCTTGGGACAGCAGCTGCAGGGCTACATTCCTTCCAATTACGTGGCAGAGGACCGGAGTCTCCAGGCAGAGCCGTAAGTAGCACTGACCACATTTTGTTTCTTGAATCTCCGGGGGCTGGATACTGAGTGCTCCCTCTTACCTGTCCACTGACCCCTGATCCACAGATCGGTCCCATGTGGGGAAGCACTGGTCAGAAGCCACTAACTGAAACATGCCTTTTTTCAAGAAGCGACAGAGAACCAGGCATGTGGTGATCACTGTTAAAACGACTTTGATTACGGTTTGCACATCTACGGTCCATTTAATACTCTCACCCTGCCTCACTTTAAATAGAATAATATTTTCATTTACGGAGAACCATAATACCCCCTAAACCTAGTTTTAAATCTAAAATTTGAGGCTTCTGGTTTAGTGTTAACTTTCCAATCATTCTAGACTAATACTACAGACCTTACAGCTAACGACAGCCATTTCCATTCTGGTAGGCTCACAAGTGGGCTAACTTACCCAGAGGATAACACAACTGTGCAGTACTAGCTTGGAATTCCTGGATTCTTAGGTGTACTTTTAATAGTATGATAGATTTTTGGTTGTTAGGATTAAAAGCTGGCCAGCCAGGTATAGACAACAAATTTTAAAAAGAAAAGTCACGAAAATATTTCTTCAGAACAGTAGATAAAGATTTCATCCTGAAAAAAAAAAATGACTTAATTGGGGGGGGGCTTGATGATGAGCGGACTTAGTTCCAGTTATTTATCTCTGATTGTAATGGTTAAACAATTATCTAGCCTTGTGAAAATGGATTTCAACCGGTTCCTGAATAAATCTGATTACCATATCTTATGGTCTAAATCTGAAATACACCCCTGACCCCTCAGACTCAGGGTTTGAATCTTTTCTCCAGCAGGTGGCGCTGCTTTTGAAGTCTGGAAGCTTTCAGAGGCTGTGCTTAGGTGATGGAAGTCCATCATTAGGGACATGCCTTTGAAGAGTGTGCCCAACCTTTACTCTCCATCTCCCTCTGTGTTTACTGCTCCACCATAATATGACCAGTTCTTTCCACCTGAGCTTAGTCACCGTACCTGCTTTCTCAGGATAGATGAAAACCTTCAGAAGCCATGGGCCAAAATAAATATTTTCTTCCTCAGGGATGGGAGAGAGAGAGAGAGAGAGAGAGAGAGAGAGAGAGAGAGAGAGAGAGAGAGAGAGAGGGAGAGAGAGAAGTTATAGTTGTGTATGAAGAATACCTAGGT